CCTGGATTTTAAACCCTGCGAATGCGGGACTACGTGTCGTTCATCTTTGTACCTTCAGATCCTAGTCAGTGGCTTGGGGAATATATGTAATAGTTACCATTTACCGAGTGGTGGCTGAGTAACAGCCACTGTGCGAAATAATGCATTTTTATTATCTCGTTTTTATAAACTTCTGAGATGAGTGTCATTGCCCCGCACTACAGTGTAGTAGGTGTTTCATTTATACGAGTCTGAGCGAGTCCTTGTTTGTTTACATCTCAGGGCAGTTCACAGATAGGTGCTGTTTGAAGCGATAGATTCGTCACCTCATTCCTTCTTGATTTCCTGGTGGTCGTACATACGTCCGTCAACTGAAAAATTCGTTGACGCTGCTGTGCAGGTCACTTACAGTGTTAACTGGCCAAGGAGAACGGAGGCTTTCGGAGTTGAAATCCTGAAAGTACTTTTTTGCTGGATGTTACTCTATCACGACACGATTTACAAACTAGCAGTGCTCACGTTGGCTGTGGTTTATGAAGGCGTCTTCACCTGCCCCTCAGGCTGCATTGTGCTTGCATTTTTATGTCTAACGCTCACGAGACTCCCACGAAGTGTTTGTTTCCTCATATTCCAGCCGGTGAAAGCTGCGACTCAGATGGAGTGCTCAGCGTTCGGGGTCACGCGGGCCGTGCATGGCTGAGCCCCGGCGTGAGCTGCTGCCGGTGGGACAAACGCGGCTCTGCTGGGCCCGGCATGAGCCGTCGACCCGTGTGACCAGGAAGACGGCCACAGGGTCCGCTTCGAGGGGCCTCTTCTCACGTGCTCCTCAGGTGGCCTTGCTGCTTGTTTTTTTTGTTTTCCGCTGGTTCTTCAGCAGTGACTGAAAACTTCCAATTATATTGTTTAGTTTTCACCCAGCGTTTCACTGAGTGAGCCCCGTTGTTCCGACGGGCAGTTTGGGAAGTGTGTGGCACTGATGTAGAGACCACTGGGGAGAACAGTGTCCATAACCGCGGACCTGTCAGTAAGGCCAAGCGAGTACGTGCAGTATGTTTAATTGATCTTCCCTTAATTTAAACTTCCTGGCCTGATCGTCAGCAATTCCCAGATTGTTGGATATTATGTCTCATAGGCCTGTCTTTGAGGAGCATCTTGACCTTATTGGACAGATGAGGGAAACAAATTAAAACGTAGCAAAACTTTAGGCAAGCGCCCCGCACACCGCCGCTGCCTCGCCTCTCTCCCTGAGTTCAGGAGAAACACGGCCTATGCGAACCTGACCGCGGCCACCACGTTAAACATCCTGACCGGGACAGCGTGTGACCTAGGGGGCGCCGGCGTGTCCCGGCCCGGGGTTCCCTCGCTTTTCACATCTCTTTCTCTGTACCCGTGGCATTGTGTTTTATTTGCTTTAATAGGTCACTCAGATAATCTGTTGTGACTCTCAAGTTGAAATAATTCTGCAGTGGTCAAACCTAAGGAACTGAAGGAAGAGGTTTTTATTATATTGATATGTAGCATAGGAAAATTATTATAAAATTAGGAGAGAAAATACGCATTTTTGTATTGAGAAATAGGAATTTATAGCTAGGATGTAAATGTTATTACTGTGCCGTGCTTTTGACACCAAAAACAATTTTAAGTGATGCCATTTTAGGTAATTATAGATACTTGGAAATCAATCATATTTAAGAAACACTGATTTTTATCATTTTGGGTGCTGCTTTAGCTTGTTAGGCACTTGCCAGATGGGTAGGCTCAGAGAATGAGTGCGTTTCTAGTGTGATTTCCACTTAACGTCCAGACCAGCAGATTCGGCCTCCCCCTGGATGTCCGTGGGACTCCTCATTGAACGTGCCCCAAACCAACGATCTCCTTCAGAGCAGCTCCGTTTTCCCAGGCCAAAACTTTGGTGTTTTCTTTGACTCCACATGCAGCCCACGTGGTCGTCGAGTTGGCTGTACTCACTGTGTGCGCAGAGCCTGAGCCGATATCTTCTCCTCCGCTGGCCCTTGGGCCAGGCCGCTGTCGTCTGCCTGGATCTTGCAGGAGAGTCAGTTCCTCCCTTTTCTCTCTCCATCTGTCCCCCCCCCTCCCTTTCTCAATCCATTCTAAACACAACCGCTAGAAGAACCTAGTAAGACGAGCGTCCGCCTGTCTCTCTGCGTGCCGGCCATGCCTTTCCCTTCTCACTGAGCACAAGCCAGGGCCGTCACGGCCCGCGGGGCTGCGACCTCACTGCCTCTCTGTCCCCGGCCTGCACCGCACCTCGCCGTCTGCAGACTGGCCCAGGCTCACCCCCAGGCCTCCGCGGCCGCCCTCGTCATCGCTGCATCGCAAGCCGGGCTCCTCGCCCTGTCGCTCGCAGGCCGCGTTCCCAGCCAGCAAACATTACACCTCCATCCCCTGCTGGCGTTTCCGATCTCCCTTCTCCGCGTTCTGTCCTGGCACTCAGCACCGCGGAGGGCGCTCCGCCCGGTTCGTGCTTGTCTGTTTCCCTCACTAGGTTTTCCGCTCTCCGAGGCAGGGACTTTTGCCTGTATCGTCACCTGTACACCACAGCTGCCCAGGGCTGATCTTGCGCAGAGTAGGTCCCACCAAGTACGTGAATTGAAGTGTGCCCGTGAGGCTGGCGGCATCCATGCCGGAGCGGCAGGCTCGGTGGCACTGCCGGGGGCACAGTTTATGGCGTGAACCGTCCCTGACCGCACGACTCTGATTTTATGCGGGGGCTCGGTGCCCGCGTGCGAAGGTGCGGAGGCGGGTGCGTGAGGAGTTAGGCGTCCCAGAGAGCTTTTCAGGTTTGGGATTATTGTTGTTTAGCTTCTGGTGGTATCTAGTTGATACATTTTCCAAAACAACTGTTACGTTAAAAATCTTGAAACAATACTGTGAGGATGGCAGCGAAGGCGAGGCTGCATTCAGCAATCACAAATTACTGGCAGTATTATGTCCGCATAGGTCGCTAAGCTTATTTTAGTCAGTCATGCTTGCTTCTATGTTTTATCCGAGATTGTAATGATTATCAGACTTTTACATCACTCGTGCTTTTAGTTAGACCAAATTTGAAGAATTTTACTTCAAGTCAGATTTTGGGTGAATATTTTCCGTTTGACTATAACTGTGTTTTAGTATTATAATGTTTCCCATAATAAAAAAAGTTATTCCTTTAAATATTTCGTATTATAGATATTCGCCAGATAATGTAAGCATTTTATATTAGGTAGAAGCTTTCCCTTCCTAGGTACTTTTGTTTGTTCTCCTGTATAGTGTAATATTTTTGTTTTAATTCTTAAACATTTTAATTAATAATTTTTTTTTAAAAAAACTGCAGTGTGGTTTTCAAGCTCAGGTCTCTTAAATTATACTCGGTCGTGTAAATAAGCTGTGCTTTGCAACTTTGGGTTCTTAACCTTTGCTCTTTGCTATTAGCTTTATGTTTTTTTAATTATAGGAAAATAGAGGACAGTAGGGAAGTTATGACTTAAATGGACTGTTGTTATTACTGTATTCTCTTTTAAGGAAATGAAAAATGTTATTTATTTTGTCCAGATCAAGCAGAAATAAATATAGATTATCTTGTACTGTTATTTTTGTTAAGCATTTAATATATATTATCACAGTTTGATTCGTTATATGTAATAATTACTTTTCCATTTTAATGATTGATGGTGTGATCAGTTATTTATAGTTGTAAAGTGTGTATTGTCCATAGTGTTACCTAATAGATAAAAAGGAATAATGTTATTTTCAGTGTATACAAAGGCAGTATTTGAATAACGAAGTCATAGTCATTTAAAAAAAAATATATATATATATATTTCAGCCTTAAAACCGAGGTTCTGTAATAATGTATGAAAATAACCAAAATAGACCATCCATGAAAAGAAAAGAAGCATTCACAGTCTTAAAACTTGTTTTGGTCCTGGCTTTTGACACATGTCCCTTTACAGTCTTACACCGCCCGTTTGTGCAAACATGTCCAGATGAATTCAGTGTTTAATGTTAAGAATCTTATAACATGCCAATTTGATTTGTAGCCCTTCATATCATAGAATGCTAATTAAAATCATATTTTTGCATATGTCATGCCTTTCATGTACATATGCAAATAGATTCTGCTGCCTTTCAGCTATTAGTAATTAACTTTATGAAGGACAGCTGTAATACATAATTAACAAAAATGTTTGCAAGCCCTTTTACACTGAAAGTTACAACAGTAAAATTTTTTTCCTTATCAAGAGAGCCATTTGAGTCTGATGCTTCTGAACGAGATCTAAATTGTTTTAAATCATCACACACCATAATTAAATTGATGTTGTGCTATATTCAGCAGAAGAACGGTGCTCCATGGACTGGCTGCAGGTCCCTGTCCATGTCACATTTATGTCAACAGAATTGAATTAGGTCCGCTGATTTGGGTATAAAATAAGATAGCATTGTCAGGTGATACTTGTTTGTTTTAGCTATTGGTATCTTCTCGGCACTTAAGTATATATATATTTTTTCATGTGCTGCAGACACAATAAACGTTTATATAATTTTTAAAAAACGCCTCTTCAAATTATTACCATGTTTTTAAGGAAACTTCATGAAGGCTATTCATTTTGTCTTTTATGGTCTCTTGAATATTTAATAAAATGACATTTTCTGAAATCATTTCATGATTGAAATGTGAGGTCAGCTAATGGCCGATGAACGTTACGTTGAGGTATTGCTCTATTTTTCATACGAACTAACCGTGAAGACAGTGACTAAAGAACTAAAATTGTTGTTTTGGTCACTCTAGTGTCCTCAGATAAGAAAAGGAACCAGTCAGTGTAAATACAGTCCTTTTTTATGGTTTCCAAGTACGACAGTATATTTAGTCTGTACCAAGCTTTCTATTTAGCAAGAGAGCCATTGTAATATGCATTTTCATGTTACATCCATATATACAGGCCTAATTTTAAATGCTTTTTGTACATAATTCTAGCAGAGAGTCAAGTTTTAGTTCTATAATTATGTTATTTCTTTTTTAGGGTTGCTTTTGTAATGAAGAAGCACTTAAATACTCATCTACTAGGCAAACATGGAGTTGGCACCCCAAAAGAAAGGTAATTTTCATTTATTTTTTTTATCTAATAAATACAGTTATATTTTCATTGTATGATATGTTTAATAAGGTGACTTCTAGAATTTTTACCAAGTCAATTCACATGTTTTACATTTGTGATGCTCTGTTGTTGAATATCATGTTTTAAGCCATTCTCTCATTAACATTTACTGTCATATTTTAATTAAAAAAAAATCCATTCTAAAAATATTTGAAAGGATTTGAGGGACTTTGTGAATTTACAAAATAACCTTGAAACAGTTGAAGAGTTAAATTAGAGGGGACTGACCTCTGCAGCTACATTAGAATGAGCTAAAATAAATACGTAAAACTACTCTTTGTCTATTTTTTTCCCTGTATCTTTATTTTGAGGTTTTTTAAATAACATTTTTGAATTCTTACTGTAGAATTAAACATTACTGATATTAAAGAAATACATCTTGTGTCATCCCCAAAATAATACCACAGTTGCCATGTCATGAAAAATAACACTACAATTATTATGTCATCAACTGCCAGGTTTTCTTTTTTCTTGCTACTGTATCATAATTAGCTTCATCACTTAGACTTAATTATATTAGGTGAACTGAAATACAGTAATGTCAGCTACTAGGTGAGTATGGCTACTTTTGAAGTTTTAAATCTTTAAAATGTACGACTCAGCCCTATGCAAGCACTCTCTCTTTCTGTGGAAGATGTCGTGACAGACTTTAGACTTCCTGAATCCCCCAAGACGGTATCTGAAATTCTAGACAGTCCTGGAAACTTGTTTTTTAAATGCTTCTTTAAAATGTCAATAACAATGCAATTTATTCTACTACTCTTCGGTTCAGGGCCTTTCTGCCATATTTTTGAATGTTTGATTTTTAAAAACAAAATTTAAATGCTCTTACATTTCTGTGTTTATAAGAACTTTAACTTGAGTTTTCTATTGGAGGCATATTGCTTTCTTTAGCATTTTAGTTTGGATATGACTCCTTTGTCAAAACATTGGGGCATAATATATGTATGCTTTTTACCTTTGGTTTCTTTTATTTTCCTTTAAGATTTTCCTTTTATTTTCCTGTAAGATTATATTTAACTTGAGCCAAAATGTATGTGTTGAACACACCCTGAAATTCACTATTCTTGAAAGTTAAAAATTCATTATTATTTAAATTATAATTGGAGACTCGTTACGTTTCATAAATTTAAAGTTACATGTCATAGTGTTTGAGAAATGAGAAACAAAACATTTTTACTTGCTATGTTCTCATTGTTTTCGTGCATTATCTCAATCATTCTGTTACCTTATTAGCAATGTATTATTATTCTGATTTTATAGATCTGAGGACTGAGATTCAGGAACATATAATCATATGTTCAGTATCTCACAACTAATACATTAGAATTGTTATTATTATTTTTTTTTACTCTAATTCTTGTGCTCTTCCTTGTACCGATTATGTCATATCGGGAATCTTTACGTAGAGGTACTTAGGGTGCTTTAGTCACAAAGTAAATTTCCATGAGAACAGTCTAGGTTGGATGATTAGTAAAAAGGAAATAGTTCCCTGCTATATATCTAGTATACATTTTGAATTCAAACATATCATTTTGCTTTTTATTTAGGAATTTTAAAAATTATTCAAAAATTTGAATAAATGTTCATATTGTTTCGTATTAACGAAAAATTCATTACTGTGTACACACATGTATGTGTGTGTATAGATCCTCCAAACACCTTAAAACTGGAAGATGCCTCCAATGCACCGTGGCAGGAGTTAGGAAGCCCCGATGTGCAGTTTGCTTTCTCCATTCCCCTTCTCCTGTGCACTCTGGGAACACTCCCGCGCGCCCCCACTGACCCCAGTCCCTAATGCATAAAGGGCGCCTGAAAAGAGGCAAGAGAAACACTGCATGTCTCTCTCCCCTTGGAGATATGGCAAGCGTTTTCTTCGTCACTGACATGATTTTTGTCCTAAAATCAGGAAATGAACGTCAAAGGGGAAGGTATACCCCGTCTTCTGAGTTATTACTTGCTAAGTAGCCCAAGTTAATCTAAACTAAGCGTCTGACTGAGTCGTTTTTCCGTGTGTGAAGAACCCTCGTTTACGGTGTGTGTCTGTGAGCACCGCTCTGGCTGCGTGGGAGCACTGAGTCAGGGTCCCTGGCCTGCAGCTGCAGTGTCACGGCAGACGCCCGCCGTCGGCGAGCACTAGGACTGCGCCCGAAACCCAGCGCAGTGACGCCAGAGCCCCCTCCTCCCATGCACGCTCCTCCCTGCCTTGGGGAGTGAGCCGCGGCCTTTCACTGGCTTTAGGAACAGAAGCCCTTTATTAGCACGTCGAACTGTCACTTTGGGCGTGACTGTTCTTAGATGAGGTTAGACACATTTTTTTTTTTTTTTTTACCTATTTGAAACATTAATGTCTTGGCTATAATTTTGCAAGCTTGCTATATTTTAATTTCTCCAGGACAGTATAATCAGTTTATGTTTTTATGTTTTGAATTTGATTCTCGCCTCTTATGCATTGCATGTTATAGCAAATAGTAATAGAAGTTAGCTAAATAGGCTGTGACAATTAAATTAATAATGCATTTTGTTTGCAAGTATTTAGGCCTTGTGCTTTGACTGATATATGCAAAAATGATAATTTCTTACAAATAAATTCACATACTTAAACTATAGTTTGATGAACCAATAAATTTTGTCAGCATGACTATCATTAGCAACAGAAAACTAAATAATTTCACAGATATATTTTTTTTGACTCCATGAACACCTGAGGTGATGGCTTGTGTAAGAATATACTGTTTTGTCCCTAAATTTGCATGAACTTATTTCAAGGTAGTATATTGCTGAATTTCTGAAATCTTGTACAGTTAAATGTAAACAACTAAGTGGCCACATTCAGTTCACATTCTAAAATAATAAACTCCAATAAATTTGCAAGTTTATCCTAAAGTATTCCATATTTTAAAGAAATAATCCTCTTTATAATACGGTAGGCCAGAGTATCTTTACGACTTTAAGTTCGTTCATAGTAATCTCGAAAATGAGCTTCTCCACAGTTTATCACAACTGAAACAGCCATGAGAAGAGTGTCTAAGAGGAAGCCAGGTGCGCCTTACAGCAGGAAGCCCTGGCATTGTCGTTCAGCCTTGGAAGTCAGCTGGGCTTTGGAGGACTGTGTGAACGGGAGGCTGGGAACGGACTGGCTCAGAACTTCTGAGCTGAGTCTCTGCTTTTGCGGCGTCTGCCTGGGCCACCGTCAGCAAGTGCCCGCACTGTCAGCACCCCGGACGAGGCCGCTCTGCTCCCCAAACCGCTTTTACCAGTAAAGGACTTTAAATCAGATGTGCGCATCAGGGAGTCTCCGAGTTAAATAATTTCACAAAGGAAATGTCCCTGTTTCTTCCGTTATTAATTAACATCCACATCAAAACCTTGGCATTTTTTTCGGTGAAGCGATTTCTGGAGGAGCCTGTGAAGGTGATGTGTCTCGGAGTGTGTTACGGCAGCACAGCTGTGCGGGGTGCCCGGGGCCGGGCGGTGGGCTCGGGGCTGGGCAGCGTCTTTGTCCAGGCCCCTGGTCCCCAGGCTTCCTTCGGATCACCGAGCCCTCACGTCTGTCTGGCTTCTCCCCGTTTATCAGACCCTTGGCGTTTGTGGCTAGGCGTCTTTCTTTGTCAGACCTTTAATCTCACTGAGAAGCAGAGTCTTGCCCCGCATGTTTATATACTAACCATCACCTGGTCTGATCATGGGAGAGGGATGCTGGCAGCTCTGAAAACGGTTCTAGTTGGCCGTGAGCTGGTAGTACATGACGTGACACCGTGTGCGTCTTGGCGTCTGCCTCGTCTCCTTTCCTTTCTTTCCTCAAAAACTTTTATATTTACATGTCAAATTGCATGGAAGCATCATCATCGTTTCCTAGTTTTCAGTTGGCCTTTTTCTTGAAACACGATAGCATCATCCAAAACCAGTATTCCTGGGAAAACCAGATATACACGTACAGACACAGTTGTCATTGAGCTTTGCTAGTGATACTTTGGGTTGATTAAAAAGTTAGGCTACTTTCAAAGAGAGAATAATACAGGTGTAAAGCTCTGAACTCAGAAGCGATCCTATTCATAATATGTTATAAGCCCTCGTTATTGTCACTTTCCTGTCTGTTTTAAGGAAACAATTTGCCTCTGGCTAAGTGGTTATCACCGCGTGTATTTTCTCTTATTAAAGGGTAAGTAGTTTTCCTCAGCGTTCAGTCCATGAGAATTTCTGTGAGGTAAATACCGGTTTCCGTTCTGAGTCTCATGGGTGCACGGAGCCCCTCTATCCCGTGTCGTCCGTCCCTCGCATCATCTCTGGGGAGTCCTTCACAAAGATCGTCAGCTGTTTCCTGTTTCCTCACTTGAGGCTCCTGTCCCCGTCACCCACCGCTTAGGAGTCTGCCCTCTCCCCTCTCCCCTCTCCTCCTGGCGCCAGGGGTTGGCGATCTTTTGTTTTCCCCATGATCGTGAGGGCCAAATTTAGGAAAAATAAGTGTTTATGGGCTCCTGTCTGCTTTAAAAAATATTTGCACATGCAGTAGCTCTGTCGAGCCAAAATGGAGGAGAAACACGTCCGTTCCTCTTCTCGGATCGCTCACCTGAGTGAGCGCGCAGTAGTTACAGTTTAGTGGCTGAATATTGCTGTGGCCTGAGCTCAGGACGTGCTTACTTCTGCCTCCTCCCATCTCTCCATCAGGAAGCAGCATCCACGTCCAGTGCGCTGCGACCATTTGACGTGGCGTCATTGTGAAAAGGTAGGATTAAGTCGACAGACAGCCTGCTAAATACTTACGTCTACCTGGGAAGACAGATAGAAGTCACATCAGTTCATCTAAAGCAGGGGACTTAACTTTAGGAACCTTCCCTGACTTAGAACGACAGCTTACTAAGGCACATGGGAGATGAGCATTTACTTCCCTGCCAGTTCTGTTCTGCAGTCGCTTTGCGAGAAATGCACCTTCCTGGGAT